TATATATATATATATATATATATATATATATATATATATATATATATATATATATATATATATATATATATATATATATATATATATATTGTGTGTGTATATATATCCTCAAGTTCATCGTCATGCAATGCCCCTTAGAACAGCCACTATTTTTCCGCGGTGCATTTATCGTCCGATAACGTTAGACTTGAACTAGCTTTGATACCAAGCTCGTACTGTCGAAAAGGTGAAATCTACAGTGCGCATTTGTAGAGACACGCTATATTCAGCTTCGCCCACTGTAAACTATTGGCGCAGCGCTATCTAGGATTTTTTTTTTTTTTTGAGGGGGTGGAGTGTGCAGCAGAACGACTAACTTTGGCAATTTGTGGTCGCTGTGAATGCATGTGAACATTTTAGTATAACCTGAATGGTTAAAATACGAAAAAAATTCGTGGTGCAGGGGGTTCAGATTTCGTTCCTCTCCGCTTTCTACTTACGGCCTCATGGTTCTGCTTGCGTTGGACACGGTATTTTTTTTTTCCATCTTACAGCTTTCTGAGCACAGCTAACTTCCGAAAAATTGGCTCAGTTATTCTAAGTACTGCATACGCCTAACCATGGTGTTAGATGCGCCTAACCAACGAAGAAAGAGTCAAGACAGAAGAAATCAGAATAAGCCACGCCCTTTCTAAATAATTTTCGATCTCTCAAAAGGGCTTTTATGGAGGTCAAATTCAGTACTGTGGCGCTTCAGCCTTTAAGGGTTATGACATGTGTTAGACATCAACTTTGGGCCCGTACGAAGAAATCTGCATCAAACAAGCGCGCTGGAGGAGCCGAAGCGCATAGCATGCAGTTCCTGCGCGCGGCACGTGGCCCTTTCAGCGCCGCCGCTACGGGCAACGCGGAAGGGATCAGGCGGCGAGGCGCGGTCTCGCCACTCGACACTTCTAGTACACTCTAGCACAGTCACAGCGAAAACTAGAAGAGCGGCCTTTCAGAATATTTTCGAAACTCACAGGGCGTAACTACTGCAAGAACACTTGCTTGATACCCACTGGGTCATTATTCATAAATTTATTTGGGTAGTAGGCCGGCATTCGCTATGCTATTTTCGCCATTCTTCTGAAAAGCGTGGTAGTTGCTAAACACTTGCAAATAATTTTGTGCCAATTGCTCATGCTGTGTCTGACGACGATGAGGAATTATGGCTGAAGTGGGTTTGCGCCACAGTTAATAGGGGAACAAGAACAAGCTTTTGTAATGGGTTGGAGCATTGGACGACCTATACAGGTTACCCTAATCGCATTTTCCGATGACTGGTTGTTCTTTCGCTGTTTAAAAACGCTTTGGGAATCATAAGAACGCGATTGCTTTCGCGACATCAAGCCTGCTTAAGGCAAATTTGAGAGCAGGTTACAAGCACCGGCGTAACTCAATGGTGTACTAGGCTGGCACCCGGTGGACCAGGGTTGGAGCGTTTCTGCGTCGTTGGTGCTAAGGTTTTTTTTTCTAGTTTCGCGCGATGCGGTTACGGACACCGGCGGCGGCGGACAACTACACGTGACCCGAGTTAATTAATATTGTGATCTCATAACACCTTTCGTTGCAAAACAAAGATGACTCAACGCCACACGTTTGCTTGTGCTGAAATTTCTTTATTGTGGCGTCGGATCGCGTTGCTTCCTCGCAGGCGAAAGGTAGCTGGCCGCGGACCGCCTCATCCTCATCGACGTAAAAGATGTTACTCGAGAAAAAGCGAAAATCATGGTGTTGTGCGCGCAAACATCGAGCCTCTTCGGCAAACCGCATTAGATTTACTTCAAGTTGAAGAACCTGTCTCTATAGCGAGCCCAAGGTTGAAGAAGACAACTGTTCATGTGTAGCGGGTCTCTTGGAAAGGTGCTAGCATTTTAGCGATGCGTTGCTACATTGCTAAGAGCGAGGCCTTAACAATTTTCGAGGTACTACGCTGTGACTCGCGCTGCCGATTGCATGTATCCCATGAGTTCCATTGCCCTGTCAAAAGCTAAATAGCATGCCCGGTGCACTTGATTTTAAAATAGAGCTATGCTTGTGGGCCAGTGTATCTAGTGATAAGGCTAATCGTGGTTTCGATTGTTGTAGGAGAGCTTCTAAATTCGCTTCGTTCGCGATATCGTTATGAAGTTTATAATGAATAAGGCCGCGTGCTTCTGAACACTCGCTTGTTCGTGTTGGTAGTAGCTGATATTCAAAGAAGTTATATATGCAAACACATAACGCACGTATACACGCACCGGCATGATATTGTCTCGGGGTCGTGACGTCGACGAAGGGAGCGGACTGTAGGTCGAAGATGAAGCTGTCTATTTGGCGGAGGTTGTGGTCGGTGAACGGGAAGTAAGATTACAGCAAAACACAGTGGCACTGATGGTGGCGAACAGAGCGCCGGCCGTTGATCAACTCAGAAGTGGTGAAGCGCATCAGCATTTGTTTATATGTGCCGTCGAATAGTGGTGGTAGAGCATCGAACGCGTTATTTGAAGGTCGCAGGTTCGGTTCCTGCCCACGGCAAGCTATCTTTTCACCCACTTTTCTTTCTTCTCATTTACATTCCATTGGTTCAAATACATTCCCCTATACATTCCTTGGCATTACTGTCTGTTAGATCTCATTAATATTGTGTCAAAACACGGAAAAACGAGCCCTTGGGAATACACTTCTTTCCCATATATATATATATATATATATATATATATATATATATATATATATATATATATATATATATATATATATATATATATATATATATATATATATATATATATATATTATATATATATATATATATATATTAAGAAAGCCACATTCATTCCTCGAGATTTGTTATCTTTTACTGTTACACTAATTCTCAGCGCAAATCCCCACCTGCAGTGCCAAGAAAAACTGTATAGAAGATCATGTTGTTAAGATTACGCACACTACGCGAACATTACAGATTATTCTAGAACGTGGCCGCTAGCGATAATGCTGGAATATTCGACGGCATGTGTTTACAAATGCCGACGCACTTCACCGCTTCTGAGTTGATCGACGGCCGGTGCTCTGTTCGCCGAGCGCCAGTGTGTATCACTGTAATCTTACTTTCCGTTCACCAGCCACAACCCTGGCCAAATTCATCTTTCACCTACCGTCTGCATGCTCCCTTCGTCGACGTCACGACCCCTGGTCAATATCATGCCGGTGCGTGTAGCGTGCGTAATGTGTTTGTATATATATATATATATACATATATATATATATATATTATATATATATATATATATATATATATATATATATATATATATTATATATATATATATATATATATATATATATATCTATATATATATATATATATATATATATATATATATATGTAATATATTATATATATATATATATATATATATATATATATATATATATGTATGTGTGTGTATGTTCGCACATGACCATATATAGGCGGAGAGTTTTCAAATAAAATTCCCAGAGAGGGCGGCGCACCCGACTTCCTCTTCCACTTTACTCTCTCTATCCACACACACACACACACAATGTTAGAGAGAAACTTATCGCAAGTATTAATAAGACAACCAAATGTATGTTACATGAAAAAGTTTCGTTTTCTTGATTATACTTATTTTTCCCAAGAGCCATGCAAACGCCGTAATTTTCGTCGTCCTGTGACTTCGTTCTTAATGTGACCACGGCGCCAAACTCCCTATACTTGTCACTGCCTCATGACCCGTATTTGAAAAGTCTGAAAGGAAAAGCAGCGGGCATAAACACTACCCTGAGGAGGAGGAATAAACATTTATTGAAACGGCATACTAAGGCTTCCGTGGGTGGAGCCCTTAATCCCCCACTGGCCCGAGCTATGGAGGCTAGAATTACACCATACCCGAGCGGCTTGCTCGGCCTGGTCCAAGGTTGCCCTCTGGCTTCCAAGGTCCCGCCGGGTGAGTCGCACCTCCCACGACCATTTAAATTCGTTTCGTGTGATGAGGGGTGAGTTACCCTCTGCTTGTTTTTGTTGGCAAGTCCAAGTGTTGTGCTGGAGTGTCGATGTGTCACCGCACCAAGGGCAGCGGTCAGCAAATTGAGATGGCCGGATTTTGCTAAGTATGTGTATGTTGGGATATGTGTTCGTCTGTATTCGTCTCCAATCCCTGGATTTCCAGCGTGAGAAGTAGCTGTAAGACAGGATGACTATGAGACCGTTGGTGATTAATGAGCCTAATGGCTCTCAAAAAAGATCTCGGGCCAGCACCAGGGTAGGTGGGAGGGGGGCTCTGCTTCCCGTGAATCAGCTCGGAGGAGACCCAAGCCTCTCCCCTTCTACCACTCCCGCACTCTCCGCCTATGCATACGAACTTAACTTCGTAACATGATTGCGAACGAAAAGGAAAGAGCGTTCTCATTACAAACGAAACTACGATTTGCCTTATCTCAAAATACACTCGCCGCCAGGCATAGCTCTGTTCTATAATTAAGTGAACGGCATGCTATTTAGCTTTTGACCGGACGGAACTCAACGGGATACATGCAATCGGCAGCACGAGTCACAGCGTAGTACCTCGAAAACTGTTAAGGCCTTGCCCTTAGCAGTGTAGCAACACAGCGCAAAAGTGCTCGCACCTTTCGGAGAGGCCCGCTACGCACGTACAGTTGTTTTCTTCAACTTGAAGTAAATCTAAAGGCAGTGCGCTGAAGACGCTCGATGTTTGCGCGCACAGCGCCATGATTAGTACCGCTTTTTGGCAAGTAAAAGTTTTGATGTCGATGAGAATGAGGCGGTCCGCGGCCAGCTACCTTTGGCCTTTGACGAAGCAACATGATCCGACTCCACAATCAAGGAACTTCAGCACAACGCCAAGCAAAATATCCGCGTTTACCCATCTTTGTTTTTTTTTTACCAGTGTTGCAAGCACAAAAAGCGCTTTCTGTAGTTGCGATGTGTGCTGCCATGTTTTCCAGTTGGCAACATTCATGACAGCGCCCATGGCGTCAGGTTTTGCGTTTCGTTGGTGATGTGTTTCGCACAATTCGGTTGTGGTGCAGCTTTTTTCAACGGTCTTCGTGAGCTCGATCGTCTGTCAGACTTTCAATAATGGACGTTCTGAAAGCAGAGATTGAGCGCAAGCGTAAAGAGTTGGAAAACAGGCAACTTGTCGTGAGTAATCTCCTGTCCGCAGCGTTAGACAGCGCTGTCGAAAGGCTGTCAGAATCATCCACTGCTTTGTAGTTCGTTGTAGTGCGAATACCGAGATCGGTAATGATTTCGGGCGCTGATTTTGCTTTTTCCAATGCTCAAGGATTACGTGACACTGTTACATCAACGGCGTGATCGCGCATAGGCCGTCTAGTGAAGTGTCGTCACGTCATGCTACAAACTTCGCCAACGGTTGCAGCTAACGCGTGTTTGCTTTGACAGGGGCCGCAGAGGAAGTTCTTCAAGCGGGAAGAGCTGATAAAGCAGACCACCGAGGAGTACGAGCAGCGTCGTCGAGCCAAGCACCAAGATGAAGATGACGATGAGGTGAATGCGTCATTAGGGTGACTCCCCCCCCCCCCTTTTTTTTTTTTTCGTTGTAAGCAATAATGCAGTTATCGTCCATTTGAGACTATATGTTCTCTTGGCCAATCCCCCAGAGTGGGTACGAGCCATGGATATTAGAGGATACAAACAAACAAACAATTAGTGTGACATCCTCGGTTACAGGTTTCGTGTTGGTTTGTGCGTAGTGCTGAAGGTCCAGCATCTCCGTACAGATTCACTGCGCCTGCTAGTTCGTGCTTCCCCTGTGTAGTTCTGTGCGTTTTCCGACATCATCGAGCTAAACGATATAGTGACGCATTTGGTACCCTAATATTTTTAGAGAAACACACAAATAGTGCAAATGTTTTGTCTTTTATGTCATCTCACGTCCTTTTTTTTTTTCATTTTCTGACAAAGAAAGGGACATGTTGCACTGTGCATGGTTGCTTTGATGCAGCGACAAATATTGCTTGTGGTTAATTGAAATGTGCTTCTTTTTAGATAATTCTCAGAAATCGAACGTCAGCTGGTTCAGTTGCCAGGGATCACATAAGCTTTGAGCACCTCTGCGACATTGTGTGCACTCACAACGCGGCCTGCAGAGTTTCGGAAACTTCTTTAGTAAGCTACTGCCTTCGAACTGGGTCATATTAACTTATATGCCCTCGACAAACAAGCGCCATAATGAAGTTCAACTGACTGACTGAAAAAGCACCATGCTAGTGTTTCGAACGTGTACTCTTATGCGATATGGCTGTGTCATCGTTTTTTGGCAGTGTTTGACACAATTACTGTTGCAGCCATCGCTTTCTAATCTTGGTCCATTGTCAGATTGGACATATGTTTTTGTTTTTCCATTCAGCAGGTGGAAGGAAGAGTTCAGCTTTTTCTAAGCTCTCTCTAAATGCCTATATAAACGGGACCACAGTTCATACATTGCATTATTAGAAAAGTGTTTCTGAGTTTTGGAAGTATGTACATAGGCGGTCTAGCAAAAGTGGGGTGTCCTTCAGGCTACTGGACTCGGACGGTGTCGAAGTGCATGCCATCGCTGACTGTTTTTGCCATGCATTTTTCATCTGTTTATAAGGCCTCAGACTCTAGGACTCAGAGAGTACAACAGCCCAAGGCAGTTAGATCATCTAGTGGTCTCGCTGAATGAATAGCTCATCTGCTCATGCATTAAGCGCTTGAAACCGTCCTTATCGTTTGGCCCAGATGGCATTCATTCCGCCATACTAGAGGCTTAGGGTAGTATATTTGCCCCAGTACTGACTACAATATTTAACAACTGTCTGAATGCTTCCACATTTCCCAGCATGTGGAAAACTGCACATGTTTTTTCAGTATTTAAGTCAGGCTGCAAAATTGATGTTTCCAATTATTGCCCGATTTCTCTACTGTGCCACATCGAAAATCTTTGAGATGGCTCTTCACAACAAATTTTATATTAGTGGAATAATTCATTGATTCCTAATCAACACCCGTTTCTTTCTGTCTGCTCAACTACCACAAATCTTCCTAGTTTTGTGACACAAATCTCCCCACCTATTTCTCAGATAGGACAGGTTGATGTAGTCTACCTTGGCCTGAGCAAGGCTTTTGACGTAGTCAGCCACTCACTGTTTTTGTTTGCAAACTTGAAAACTTTGATGTTGACTCGTCTGTTGTGAATCTCCTGCACATCTATCTGCTTCATAGATCATGTTGTGTTGCCATAAATGGCCAAACGCTTCTTTGTACAAAGTTACTAGTGAAGTCCTTCAAGAGTCGCTATTATGCCAACTCTTACTTCTAATTTATATTAACGATGTCTTTTGCAATTCATTATTCTTCATTTCTCTTGCTGATGAAATTGAAATATTTAAGGAAATTCCTTCATCTAAGAACTGTAGTTTGCTGCAGCCATATTTGAGTTATTTTCCCAAATGGTGTGATAACAATAACCTTCGTCTGAAAGACCAAATTCATGAGTATATCTCGCAAAACATCTATCTTGTCATTTCTATACTCTGTCGATACCATGTCCATGTGTAACATGTGTAATGTTTATGAATTCAGTGATCTTAGTGTTCTTTTTGATAGCATGCTAAATTTTTCTGCTCACTCTAAACGTGCTGCCATACATGGCCTTCGTTTTCTTGACTGTGTTTGTAGAATCTCTTGAGAATACGGTTCTCCTGCAGCCTTCCACGAATTTTACACCGCAATATGTCTTCCTCAACTTGAACATGCATATGTGATCTGGATAGGCATTGCTAAATCTGCCAGTGACGCCATTGAGCGAGTCTAGAAGAATTTTATAAACATTTACAATCGTTTCATTAGAAATCACTCTGGAGCTTGTTCCAGCATTGCCAAATTATTGTTATTTACTGCTGACGAAATTGTGCTGGCCTATTCTTTCTTTACAAACTAGTTCATGGAATGATGTTCTGCCCCTTATTTCTCAGTTGTGTAAATTTTCAGATTCTGCGTAAGTTGACTAGAGAGAATCGACTATTTTATGTACCTGCCAGCTTCTTTCAACACTCTACTGTTCACAGAATACAAAGTCTTTATAATATTAACTTTCATGATCTTGATGTTTTTCACAGTCCATTGTCCTTGTTTTGTCTCAGCTGTGCACTGTCTTAAAATAGTTTTTCACAATGTACAGATTCTTCCCTTTTCCATTTTTCAGGATGGTTTCTACATACTTGTGTATACTCTCCTTTATACTGCATTTCCTTTGCATGATTCTCATCTTGTCTTTTTATTCTTCCCATTTTTTACTGATTTTTTTTCTGCATGTTTACATTCTTTATTTGATTTTTCTGATGAGTGCATTGCATTGTTGTTTCTTTTGTTTTGTTTTTATGTGTGGCTGCACAAAAAAATCATGGTTGTTTCAGGGCACGTTAAATTATTATTATTATTATTATTATTATTATTATTATTATTATTATTATTATTATTATTACACTGACCTTGGATACATTATCTAGTGGCTTGAAATAATAGCATATAACAAACAAAAAAAACGAAAAATATAAGCCCTTCAGCATTGTTTTTCATGCCTGTCCGGTAGATTGGACAATTTGGGTATTTGGTGCAAATGGTGTGGAAACATGCCAACCCAATCAGGCTCTGGAAAACATCTCATTGGAAGGGCAGACATAGACAACATAATGGCGTTGCATTTTCAGAAACTTCCCTCTCTCTGCATCCAATCGTGGCACTAAATTGTTTTCCCGAATTCAAGTACCAGCATGCCCAACATACAGCAGTGCAACAGAAAGACAAAAGAGTGCTAACATTATTTAAGTGTGCCTGTTCTCACCTCTGCCCTCTTGTGTGCCAACGCAGTCATCATCGTTGCTGTCAGTGACCAGCCTCCTCAAGAAGAAGCAGGAAGATGAACGTGTACTGCCAAGGAAAGAGGTATGTTCTGCTCAGGTTTGCACTTGCTTCTGCTAATTCAGATTTCATGGCATAATCAGCTTTAAGGAGTACTGGCATAATATTTTGAAGGTGAGATAACTTGGAGATGAATTTTTGCGGACACACACTACTCATCTACAGAATATCAAGGAATAATGTAGCCTAAAATATATTTATAACATATGTTAAAGTGCATGTAGCACAACAGTAGAAGTGCCCACCTCGAGACATCAACACCAACTTGTCTTCAGTCTAAACAACCAATGAAATCACTGGTTTTACTTAGCTTCTGTGCTCCTTGTCAGTGCTCTCTCCTAGCAGATCTTTTCAACAGAGAGAGGGAGAACCTTTGCTACGGGCTTGCATGGGGGGGGAGGGGGGGGTGCCGGTTTCACCGCACAATAGTTCTTACAAAGAAAAAGTTAATGAAAAAGTTTGTCCTGGCTTGGTACTCATATATTATTAAAGGATGGTCATTAGGATTAGAAACGTGATGTGGATGTTTAATATAGTTTTCATTTATAAATAAACTCTTCTTATTATAAACAAGGTATAAGAACTTCAGTCTCAACTTTTCTCGTCTAGAAGAAAGCAATTCACAGTTCGCATTTCAGTTCCGTACAGCTTTCGTTTCGCACGTACCGTCCCAGGACGAACCAATAGCACCACAACCACCCACAAGGCATTCATTGTCTAGACGCTCTTGAACCGTGCTAAAGCCATCTTTCGTACCTGCCATGATGACTAGTGAGCATGAGGCCGCTGGTTTGATTGTGTATCAGTTAAAACCTGTGTATTTAAATCAAAGCGATTATTAAAGCAGCCTAGGTGGCCACAATTCATCTAGGTTCCCACACTATCAGTTTTGGCTCGAAAGACCCCGATTTTATAGTTTCTTTCTAATTTTCTCCCCTGTTATTACCAGTCAAGCCACCAAGGGAAATATGAGTACTTGGGGCATTTTTCAACTACACAGCAGTACTCGTTATCTCGCTTGCTTCCATTGCCCTTTTGAAGACCGTGGTCGCCATTTTGCGATCAAGAATGTTGTGTTGCGCTCATAGCTGCACGGTCGTAACCGAGGTGTGCTGCACGTGCAGCGATAACGTGAGGTAAGCGTGAGATAGATGATTACTGATGTATGTGTGATAGAAAGATGTCCCAAATATGCATTTTTGTTAACGGAGCCACAACTCCTGGCGGTGAGGGCACTATTTTGCTGCTTCGTGACTCCCTTCGGTGCACTGGCTAACGACGGCAGTAAACTGATGTTGGCGAAAGAGCGAGATCGCAGCAATGGTTTAACCAATTTAAGGTTGATTGCAGAAGACGTTGCCGTGCGAGTGCGATGCGTGTACGGCAGATTTTCAAAGGCCCTGTCTGGAACGCAGAAGAACCACGCATTAATCCATCCATCACCTTACGTGCATCACGGTTAGCAACAGAGAACTATATGTGATGACGCCATTGTAGTGCATGGCCTTTTTTATGTTTGCCATTGCACGGAAAAGCACTTCAGCTCATTCACATGACCATATCCGCTACCATGAAATCATTCCGGAACTATGAAAAGAATATACATGCTGAAGTGCCCCGCCGCGGTGGTCTAGTGGCTAAGGTACTCGGCTGCTGACCCGCAGGTCGCGGGATCGAATCCCGGCTGCGGCGGCTGAATTTCCGATGGAGGCGGAAATGTTGTAGGCTCGTGTGCTCAGATTTGGGTGCACGTTAAAGAACCCCAGGTGGTCGAAGTTTCCGAAGCCCTCCACTACAGCGTCTCTCATAATGATATGGTGGTTTTGGGGCGTTAAACCCCACATATCAATCAATCAATACATGCTGAAGTAGTGGCACAGCTGACAGACGACTCGTCAGGCTTTGACATAAGCGCATACATTTGTACAGCGACCCTTTACCGAAAACTGGCACGGCTATACATAAAATGCGTTACCATCGTTCGTCAAGCTGAGCGCGCCTCTAGCTAGTTCTGTGCAGTGCATCGTCAACTAAGCTCACTCCATCAGCGCTGTGCTCTGTAACATGTACTCGTGCATTTGCTCTTGCGTAGAGATATTTTTTTTTCTTTGTGCTCGCTCAGCACACGACCGAGACTATTTTGTCGAGCCAATGTGGTGGCAGCGAGTTGCCTTCGTTTGCACAAGTGATACGCGCTTACGGTCCCGAGCACAAGGGCTCCGCAGCACACAGCATGGTTGGTACACTTACATGAACAGTAACAGCACTAAACTGCTGAGGAACACGTACTGCCGTGCAGGCAGTACATGATTTAGATTGATTGAGATGTTTATCGTTTCGTTGGTAGGTAGATGGCATGCCGCCGCATTCGTCGGTAGCCGTCATCACGTTCCCATGAATTCTCATGCAGGCATGCCGTACTCGTGCTGAAGTCATAGTAATCACTGCATGATCTACTGAGGCTCTTATTGCAAATTCGAAAAATCATAAGTTCTGCAGTGACATGTGCAAATGAATATACGAGGAATATTCGAGTTAGTTTGAATATACCAAATTTTCAAATATGCGGTTATCAAATCGAATACGAATATTACAAATGCAATATTCAATGAAGATTCAAAACTTTTGATTATTCGCATGCCCCTAATTTTTACTCAAGCCAGTTAAGCAACGAAAGACCAAGTTCACCTAGCGTGACGCTGTTCTTTTTCAAGTAACTACTTCGCTTTATGTGCTAGTTGATACAAACATGAACCAGCCAAGCTCATTGCTTCATATTTATGCAGTAATAATTATCTAAGTTTTTTTTTTCTTTCAACATGACTACTGGTTCAGAAATGTTTTGACTACTGGTTCAGAAATGTGTTGCCATAAATGGCCAAACGTCTTCCTTGTACAAAGTTACTAGTGAAGTCCCTCAAGAGTCGGTATTATGCCAACTCTTATTTCTAATTTGTGTTAACGATGTTTTTTTGCAATTCATTATTCTTCTTTTCTTTTGTATGCTGATGACATTAAAATATTTAAGGAAATTCGTTCAGCTAACAACTGTTGCTTGCTGCAGCCATAGAATCTTCGTTAGTACTTTTGTCTTTGTTTTACTTGCTTCCTTGAATGTGTAGCACAAATACGAACTACTTTTGGAAAGCTGACGACCGTCTTCAGTCTTAATGTCTGTAGATAATTGCTTTTTTTGGAAATGTCTGGCTTATGATGCACGCTTGTTTGCAAAGTGCATCTCGTACTTTACAGTGTGTGATGAAATTTATAACTAACAGTTCATGTTTACTAACTGCGTGTACTACATCCTTTAGTTTGTAATTTATGATAGTGATGTGCACTCTGAATAATGCATATATATGCCAACGTTTCCTGTTAGGGTGAAACTATAGTGACTCCATTATGTAAAAACAAGGAAGTCGCAAGACCACGTGCAATTGTTCTGTAATGACATCAATGGGCTTTCGGTGGAGCTGCAAAGAAAATGACAATTCATGATGTCATAGTGAGAGAACTTGTGCTGTTTGCGGTAACTTTCTGAAATCATTGCCAGTAATTAAGCCTTATTTCAGTTACTGTATTTCATGAATGTGCAGTGCTGTGACAGTAACGTCAATGAAAGAGTGAGGGAGAGAGTCATGTGTGTGAATTACCATTATGTATTCATAACAGTGAAGGACGCAAAACTCAGTCCGGTCCAGATGAAACATTTTCATGTTTGATTGTGGCCTAGGAGAAGAAATACTCGGAGTACAAGTAAAATTGCTGCATTATGGTAACAGCAAACACAGACGTTAGTTGTCAATAATATGTGATCCTCGGTGGAATACATCATCTCTTGTATATGAGTCGTAGATGATTCAAGTATTATTGCTGGCTCTAGCAGTAGGTTTTGATCAAACTTGATTACTTGTGGGATACACACAATCTTATCGGAATACAGTTAAACCTGATTATATCGAAATTGACAAATTCCCCCAAAAAAATTCGTTATAAAGAGGATTTCTTTATATGCAGGTTTGGTACGCAAATTTCAAAAAGAAATGCACAAATTAAAAAAAGAAAAACTGAAGACAGAGCTTACCCAAAACACTATTTAGTGGTAAAAAAGTTCATTATTACTGAGACAGTGATTATGTGGACACTCTCGGCGGGTTTTGCCACGCCCCGCTCATCATAACTTTTACGAGCGGGTAAAAGCGTGCAAGCGCTTTTGAAGCAGAAATAAAATGAGCCGGCCCATCTATATAACCTGAAAGGTGCATTCCATAACATCCCCCCACGGGTTAGAGCTTCCGTCGAATGCTCAAGCAGAAAGGAAACCAGCCGTCATGAATGAGCATGAAAAAGCGCTAGATTGGGGGGGGGGGGGTCACTCAAGTATCAGCGGTGAACTATAATTTTACGGGTGCAATTGCTGGCACGCGTGCTATCTCAGCACACGAAGAGGCTGTGTAAAAAAGGCAGTTCACCCTGGAGCGGCCGTATTTGCTTACACCAGCGTTTTGTATAAGTTCCGCGAAATCAGATCCAAAAGAGATGGCTGCCAGCCTTACTTTGTTTAACATTACAATTTGTTGCTATTACATTCATTGCATTGAATTCAACAAGCCGTCATGTTGTTGCCAGAGCTGAATGACCAATCGCAAAGGCTACAATCCTGAGGACTTGGGGCGCAAGCCTGAAAGCGCATGACAAGGTAACCTCCCAAGATCGATCGTCATCACCGGAGTCTCGGAGAGTTTCCATCAGCGGCTAATCTGACATCTGCTTGGTAGTAACAACATGGTTGTCTGCATTTTAAAACAAGTAAAGCTGAGCGTTGCCAAGGGCCACACTATGCGCGCGCAGTAAGACCTTGCACGCCCGCACGGCGTCGAAAACGAAGGGCAAACGACGTGGATATTGTAGAAAAATATTCAGTAAAGCATCATCTACATGCAGCGTGGTCCCAGGTATGTGACACCAACTGAATTAGTGGTACTGCCAATGCATAAAAGTAGTTTTATTATTTCGTTTTTGGTTTGGAGGGAGTGGAAGGGCACATCCACACATGCGCTTGCAGCTGCAAGAACTGCGGCAATGCCAGCTCATGGGGCACAGGCCCACCTACCCGTTTCGCGTGCATTCGGCATACAGTAACAAGCGCTCGCTCTTGCCTGGCATTCGCCAGGTCCACGACCGTGCTATTTGCGGTAGAGTGCCTGGATGGGCACACCAGCAGAGGCAAACTAGCGCATCGAGGCACTCTAATGTCCTTGGGAATAAGATAACTAGATGGCGTTAGTGGTTTTCACAGCATATCCTCGGATTGAATGATGATGAGTGGGACGAAGCATGCGTGCTTCTGTCCGTTCGTGCTTCCATCCATCTATTTGTGCGTCCGTCCATCCATCCACTCATACGAGAGTCTGTACAACCATGCTTCCGTGCATCCGTCGATCCATCCGCTTGTGCTTCTGTCCATGCTTTCAGTGTTGCAGTGCCTATTTAAAAAGCTCTTAAAGCCCTCAGATGTTGAAATTTAGTTGTGGTGTTACATTTATGCATGAGTCTACAATGAACACGCAGCCATGACAATGCGCATTTCGTGATCCAAAGGAGACCCTCGCTCAATTCGCTCTTTCTTTCGCTATACTGCACTTGTTGGCTCATCTCTCGTTCTGGCCAAGTGTTACCGTGTACAAACCTGCGAGCTAACAAACATGTCTTGTAGGTGAAGGGCAGTCGACATGTCAACATCATGGCAAGAGCTGTGTGTATGAAAAATGCTGAAATGCATGGAGGGAAGGGACTGTTGCTTAAAATTTGTGGGGCGTCCACGGCTATAGCACTGTTGCATTTAGCATTCAGAACTCACTGCTTGTATTTACATGAAACATTACAAAATTATCTGAGGTGGTTTATGGGCCTTTAAAGTTTTCGCTTGGCAGTCAGCACTCATTCTGTTTGTGTTATCATTTGTATATTTTATTTGCTAGCTTGTTTCCTTTACCTTTTTATCATGTCTACACATAGCTTACTCTTTAGTGATGGATCATTGCAGGTGATCAGGCGCCTTCGTGACCGTTCAGAGCCCATACTACTTTTTGGTGAGACAGAGACTGAAGCCTTCCACCGACTGCGGCGTCTGGAGATCCTGGAGCCTGAGGTGGACCGGGGACTCCGCAATGACTTTCAGGTCAGTTCATAAAGTGCAGCCACATCTAGTGTACTTGGCAGTATCTGTGCATGCAGACACAAGTGATGTATCATCTTTTTTTCTTTTATTGGCTTTGTGTAGAGCAAACTCTTCTGCATCAGCATTACTGTTTGGTAATTGTTTAATTTCTCTAGGTGACTTGTGAGTGTTCCACTTCTCTCTTTGTTTAGATTACCTTCGTCATTCTGAAAACTTGCTATGTGCTGCGAACTTCTATGTACAGTAGAATTTCGCTGATACGTTTCTGAAAAAACATGGAATATAAATGTATGATCCGAATCAGGTTATTTTTAGTTTTTAAGATTGCAAGCATAGGAGCTGGGAAATCATATTAAGTGAGAACATATCAACGAGGTTCCACTGTATTTAAAATATTGTAATTTTGTATAACACCTGTGGAGGCCTCGATCAGGTATTGCTGTGCCTTTAGTTTCAGTACCATCTTGTTTTAATTTAAAAAAAAGTAAACCATTTTAATCAAGTGGCCTTACCAGATGTGTCACCTCACCAGACACACATCTGGTGAAGTCGTGTGAGGTGCTGGGTCAACGAATGATGGATTCCAACATGAAAACATAACTGTTTATTAACGTGGTAGCTGCAGTAAGGCGAGCATGCTGTTGCTGTGCTCAGACGGTTAGAGAAACAATCATAAGATCGAGCTTGGCAGCTTGGGTTATATAGCCATCAGTGGTGACGTCAGCCTCCGGTGAAACTGCGGTGGTGCTGTCCCTTGTCGGAAGCGTGTTGCAGGAAGTGGCTGTGTTACACCGGGCTAACCAGTGATGAGACAGAAGCTGCGCAGGTTTGTGCCCAGTGGTCGCCACAGTCACATTACCAGATGTGTCTGGTGGTTTGTCTGGTGATATGACCACACGTCTGCGTGATACGTGACACACAGTCAGTAGGCATTTTTGAAAACCCTGCTCTCAGCAGGACAAGAGAAATGAGCAATCATTCAAAAATAAATTAAAAGGCAATTCCTGCAGTTTCTTCAGTTGTCAGTAGGTATTACAGCACGCCATCGTAGGTGACTTTCTGCTGTTCAGGGCTCTTTGTAGGACGACTTAGTATTATGTTGGGAGTACTGATCGTCAGAACTTTACAGGAAAAGCTGCTGTGAGATCACAAAAACAACCAATTTTCGTAGTGTAGTTGTTTACTGCAGCAGTTGCTGCTGGTGTCCTTAGCCAATAAATGCACAGTGGCAAAAAATATTCAGGTTTGAGTGGGAATCGAAGCAAGGCCTACTGTTGGGCAGTTTTCTATCACAGAGCCATGCCAGTGCTTGACACTCCCTCGTGAAGAGACTGTGCAGGTGCGTGTTGGTCAAGGATTAACACAGGTCATATAGTGCGGTAGAAAAGAAAAGCAACAACAGTGTGTCACACAATTTTAATTGCATAACAAATGGGTACTTTATTAAACCTTAAAGCTTCCCACCTGTTACAATGGGCTAAGCCATGATTGTTCATTGTCATCGGCCACTGCATCAACAAAGCACGCATAATGCCTTACAGATGTGCAACGTCTATGTCAGTTCTCGGCAGAATAAAGAATAATGGCAAAGGGGGTACTTTGCTATTTTGCAGAAATCATGATAATATGGTGTATTGGATACCTTGCAACTGCGCCCAAGAGAATTCAGAAGTGGCTCTAGAAAGGCTTTTTCTACAGCTTTCACTGTTACTGTGCTACTGTTCCTCACAGGCCTGTTATTTTTTTTTTCAGATTCACGGTTTGAATATATTGCCACGTTCCATTTCACAAGTTTTTGTTATCGTTCCGAAACACCACACGATTCTCGGCGCAAACCGCGCCTGCAGGTTTCGAGAAGGTTCTGGACTGTAGTAGATCATTTCGATAAGATCACGCCCACTGTGCGAACGGTACAGATTGTTCGGGAACCTACGCCACCGCCAGCGATAACACTAGAACATTCGACGGCAAGGGTATAAATGCCGACGCGCTTCGCCACTTGTCAGTTGTTGATCAAAGGCCGACGCTGCGTTCGCCGCTATCAGTCCGAGACTGCTATCTGTGCAAGACTGCTGCTGTAATTAGACTTTCCCTTTACCGGGCACAGGTTCGCCCAAATAAACAGTTAAATCCCAACACGAAGTTTCCTGTCTTTGGCCACGTCACGACCCCGTGACATCTGGTGCAGGTGCTGCTTCGTTCATGTACCGGACGCCCCCGTCAAGCCGTGAACCCAGCCCCCGTCGCGGAGAAGACACCGACGCCAACCAAGAGCAGCGAACGAGCCGCCGACAGCAAGGTCTCCCACCGGAGTACGGCCTTCTACAAGACAAGGCGCGGAAGACAAAGACCATGACCTCGACTGCAGCGACAATGACAGCCGGAGCGTCCCAGCCCGCGATCATCATTCATCAACCCGGGGAACCACCAACGTTCCATGGCTCATCGTTTGAAGACCCGGAAACCTGGCTAGAAACAGTGGTTGAGGGCGTGTGGCCGCCCTCAACCACTGGGACAACGAAGAAAAGCTCCGTCGTGTGTACTTCTACCTGAAAGACACCGCAAGGACCTGGCTAGAGAATCGGGAGTCCACGCTCCGAACGTGGGATGTCTTCTGCGGTGCATTTCTGCAAACGTTCGCAAGCGTCGCTCGCAAAGAGAGAGCCGCGGCTCTACTCGAGACCCGGGTTCAGCTACCAAATGAAAAGGTTGGAATTTTCACAGAGGAGATGACCCGCCTATTCCGTCACGCTGACCCAGGCATGCCTGAGGAAAAGAAAGTTCGTTTCCTCATGCGAGGGGTCAAACAGGAGCTCTTCGCGGGACTAATGAGGAATCCACCGAACACCGTCCAAGAATTTGTATCCGAGGCGACCACCATCGAAAAAACGCTGGACATGCGCACCAGACAGTATAATCGTCGCCTGACTCCAGAATGCGCTGCTGCTCAAGCCAGTGACTCCGACGACCTGCGTGAAACGATCCGAGCGATCGTGCGGGAAGAGCTGCGCAAACTCTTGCCTTCGGCGCAGCCTCAAGTGGATTCGATCGCCAACATTGTGCGAGAAGAAGTCCGGCAATCCCTTCGAATTCCCGAAACACCGCCGCCCGAGCCAGAAACTATGAGCTACGCCGCTGCAGTGCGCCACAACGCTCCTCCCCGTCCACGCCAAAATGCCGCTCCGTCACACTTTTGTCGCCAGACACCACCGCCGCCACCACCTCAACCGACGTCCTACCGTTCCCCAGCGGGCCAGCGCAGTGCACCGAGGAAAACGGACGTTTGGCGTGCACCAGACAACCGCCCGCTTTGCTACCACTGCGGTGAGGCCGGGCACACATACCGCCGTTGCCAGTACCAACAGATGGGACTGCGTGGCTTCGCCGTCAATGCACCGCGTCCGCAGCCAGGAGATCGGCCACGTGACATCGCCGACTACCTGGCAGGAACTCAATGGACACGACGAAGTCCTTCCCGTTCGCCGTCGCCCAGCCGCCGCATGTCACCGCACCCCCGGCAATACTCTGGCCCAACGCGGGGCCGGTCTCCTAGCCCGTATCCGGGAAACTAAGGGCAGCAACCGATGGAGGTGCGGTTGCTGTGCGACGAACTACCCAAGATCCTCCGACGACGACGCCGACGCGACGGAGCTTTTTGAACACAACACCAACCAGGCAAAGCCCTGAAGGCAAAAGCTCACTTACCGAAGGTGGCCGGACGACGCAACATGGAAGCAGTGGAACAAGCCGACGCAGCCGTGACCCGACGCCACGCCCTAACTGTAATGCGAGACGGCGAACTAGCGACCTCGACGTTCTTATCGACGGCCACAGTGTGACTGCTGTCGTCGATACTGGAGCCGACTATTCTGTCATCAGTGGGTCGTTCGCCGCGAAGTTAAAGAAAGTTAGGACAGCTTGGAAAGGCCCTGAAATCCGCACAGCCGGAGGTCATCTCGTAACGCCTGCAGGAATCTGCACAGCGAGAGTCACCATTAACGGCCGTATTTATCCTACAGACTTCGTAGTCCTACAGCGTTGCTCGAGAGATGTCATCCTTGGCATGGACTTCTTATGCCTCCATGGTGCTGTCATCAACCTAAAAACAAGGTCGATAACGTTATCCACAGAAGAAGCCCTACCGCCGCGCACGCCGTCAGGACACCATGCCTTGAATGTGCTGGAAGAACAAGTAACCATTCCGCCTCGCTCAAGCGTCATTATTTCAGTCGGCGCTCCTAAATCACCTGACTTGGAAGGCGTCGTTGAAGGCAGTCAGCATCTGTTGGTCACCCGAAATATTTGCGTCGCAAGAGGAATCGCAGAGCTGCGGGGAGGCAAAGCAACGGTTATGCTCAGGAATTTCAGCAATGAGTACAAACATGTGAACAGAGGAACAACGGTCGCATACATCGAAGAAATTGTCGAAGCCACCAGTGCTTTCGCCCTCGCCGATTCTGCGGAACCTGCTCAGAGGAACCAAGCCCCTCCCATAGCTTTCGACGTCAATCCCAGACTTCCGAACGATAAGCAAGAACAGCTCAAGGCCCTGCTCCTGCAATACGAAGATTGCTTTTCGTCGTCATCGAAAATTCGGCAGACCCCAATCACGAAACATCGAATCATAACCGAAGAAAATGCCAGACCACTCCGTCAGAGCCCGTACAGGGTTTCGACGCGAGAACGTGAGGCCATGAAGAGACAAGTTGATGAAATGCTGCGGGATGACATTATCCAGCCGTCCAAGAGTCCGTGGGCATCCCCCGTGGTGTTAGTGAAGAAAAAGGATGGGACCCTACGTTTCTGCGTCGATTATCGCCGCCTGAACAAAATCACAAGAAAGGACGTGTACCCTCTCCCACGAATAGACGACGCACTTGATCGGCTCCATAATGCCAAGTACTTTTCGTCAATGGACCTCAAGACTGGCTATTGGCAAATCGAAGTCGACGAAAGAGACCGAGAGAAGACGGCGTTTATAACACCGGACGGCCTTTTCGAGTTTAAGGTGATGCCCTTCGGCCTTTGCTCAGCGCCTGCAACTTTTCAACGCGTTATGGATACAGTACTGGCAGGATTGAAGTGGCAGACTTGCCTTGTGTACTTGGACGACGTCGTCGTGTTTTCCTCGAGTTTAGACGAGCATCTTCGGCGCCTTGAAGCTGTACTTCAAGCCATCAAGACTTCCGGACTCACACTGAAGCCAGAAAAGTGCAGATTCGCGTATGAGGAGCTATTGTTTCTGGGGCACGTTATCAGCAAGTCTGGAGTTCGTCCCGATCCACGGAAAACAGCCGCCATCGCCGACTTCCCCCCGCCCACTGACAAGAAAGCTGTGCGCCGATTTCTGGGCCTGTGTGCCTAATATATCCGGTTCGTGAAAAACTTCGCCCGCATCGCCGATCCTCTCACTAACCTTACCAAGGCCGACGTGGAGTTTAAGTGGGAAACGCCGCAGGAACACGCTTTCCAGGAGCTTAAACATCGTCTCCAGACGCCTCCGTTACTTGCCCATTTCGACGAATTCGCCGAGACAGAAATACATACTGACGCAAGCAGTGTAGGTCTCGGCGCCGTTCTTGTGCAGAGGGCTGACGGACTTGAAAGGGTTATTAGTTACGCCAGCCGATCGCTATCCAAAGCAGAAGCAAATTATTCCACAACAGAAAAGGAGTGCCTCGCCATCATCTGGGCTACGTCAAAATTTCGCCCCTACCTCTACGGCAGGCCCTTCAAAGTTGTGAGCGATCACCACGCATTGTGTTGGCTAGCCACCTTAAAGGACCCTTCATGTCGCTTCGCACGATGGAGCCTGATACTTCAAGAATATGACATTACTGTCATTTACAAGTCCGGCAAAAAACACTCCGACGCCGACTGTCTCTCTCGTGCGCCTGTAGACCAACCGCTACCCGATGACCCGGATGACGACTACTTCTTAGGAACGATAACTACCGACGACTTCGCTGAACGACAGAGGGCCGACCCGGAACTTAAGGCCCTAATAGAATACCTCGAAGGCCGGACCGCCGAAGTCCCGAAGGTATTCAAGCGCGCACTTGCGTCGTTCTTTCTACGAAACGGTCTTCTACAAAAGAAAAACTTTTCACTGCTTCGAGCTAAGTACCTCCTTGTGGCGCCTTCAGCTCTGCGACCAGAACTCCTGCAGGCCCTGCACGACGATCCGACGGCAGGGCACCTCGGTGTTTCTCAAAGCACGCTCGCGAGGATACAAGAAAGGTACTACTGGCCCCGTCTTACCACCGACGTCACTCGTTATGTGAGAACATGCCGGGACTGTCAGCGACGCAAGACACCGCCGACAAGGACAGCGGGACTTCTGCAGCCAATTGATCCACCTTGCCGACCTTTCCAGCAGATTGGTATGGACCTACTGGGGCCGTTCCCGACGTCGGCTTTCGGAAACAAGTGGATCGTGGTAGCTACCGACTACCTCACCCGCTACGCCGAGACAAAAGCCCTGCCAAAAGGCAGTGCATCCGAGGTAGCTAAGTTCTTCGTCGAAAATATCGTCCTACGTCACGGCGCCCCGGAGGTCCTTATCACCGACAGAGGAACGGCATTCACTGCCGACTTAACTCAAGCGATCTTGGCATACAGCCAAACAAACCACCGCCGGACGACAGCGTACCACCCACAGACCAACGGCCTCACCGAGCGGCTTAACAAGACGATCGCCGACATGCTGTCAATGTACGTCGATGTCGAACACAAGACGTGGGACGCCATTCTTCCGTATGTGACCTTCGCATACAACACGGCGGTGCAGGAGACGACGCAGATATCTCCATACAAATTGGTGTACGGAAGGAGCCCGGCAACGACGCTCGATGCCATGTTACCCAACGTCACCGACGAAGAAAACCTCGATGTGAGCGAGTACCTTCAACGCGCTGAAGAAGCCCGACAACTTGCGCGTCTCCGTATCAAGAATCAACAGACGACCGACAGCCACCGTTACAACCTTCGACGACGCTTCCTGGAATACCAGCCCGGTGAACGTGTTTGGGTGTGGACGCCGATACGCCGACGTGGACTAAGTGAAAAGCTTCTGCGACGGTACTTCGGACCGTACAAGGTGGTTCGACGTCTCGGACCACTTGATTACGAGGTTGTCCCCGACGGCATCACGAACTCTCAACGACGCCGATCGCGACCTGAAGTCGTCCATGTCGCGCGCCTCAAGCCGTTTCATGCACGTTAACAAACTGAAACAGTGTTTTTTGTATTATTGTTGTATTGTAATTTATTCATTGTACTTTCTTGCATTATTATTGTACCTTCATCTTTAGTTAAAGCATCGGGACGATGCCTTTTTTCAGAGGGGGGCAATGCCACGTTCCATTTCACAGGTTTTTGTTATCGTTCCGAAACACCGCACGATTCTCGGCGCAAACCGCGCCTGCAGGTTTCGAGAAGGTTCCGGACTGTAGTAGATCATTTCGATAAGATCACGCCCACTGTGCGAACGGTACAGATTGTTCTGGAACCTACGCCACAGCCAGCGATAACGCTAGAACATTCGACGGCAAGGGTATAAATGCCGACGCACTTCGCCGCTTGTCAGTTGTTGATCGAAGGCCGACGCTGCGTTCGCCGCTATCAGTCCGAGACTGCTATCTGTGCAAGACTGCTGCTGTAATTAGACTTTCCCTTTACCGGGCACAGGTTCGCCCAAATAAACAGTTAAATCCCAACACGAAGTTTCCTGTCTTTGGCCACATTACGACCCCGTGACAATATTGTGGAGGCTTATTGTGCACACCTTTCTTCTCCATTCATGTTCATCCCCATGTGGTGTCTTTCTTTGTCATCAATTGTGGTGACTCATCTGAAGAGTGATCTGTTTCTTGGTTGTGGTCATATGTCTTCAGGGCCTAATAAAGTTTTTATTGTCTGCTGCTTCACAATTTGCGCTGCTCTCTTGCCAATCTTCTGAAACTTGTGCAGGAGGCAATGGAGAAGGTGGACCAGATCTACCTGGACGAGATCCTCAAGTCTCAGGGAAAGACCGAGGATGGAAAGTCGGTGCACGACGTCAAGGTCGAGAACGACACCACCACCTTGGAAGACATACAGGTGCGCAACAGGCTACAGTAGTTCGTGTGAATCCCATACAGATGTTGTTGACACAGAAGCACTTCTTCAAGATGTCCTCGCTGCAAGGTGTTCTAAGGGCAGCTTGCACTGCATATGAAATAGCGCGTAGTGCCTTGTGTTTGTCTGGAAGACACTGTTGAACCACGTCGTTTGTTTCTCTGTGTCTGTATTTGTATGTATACAAGTATTCTTTATGTTTTGTTCTTTGCAGCACATAGCACAGGAACTCGGTGAGCGCAGAAGCAAGGGAAAAGACGCTGAAATGATTCTTACTGCCCTCAGGGTGAGATTATGGGTTCCAGCATTTCTTTAGCCCTGCATCATCTGTTTGTCCCAGAAGTTCAGCTACTTTGCTGATGAGTCTGTTCGATTACAGCTATTCAGTTTAATACCATGCATATGACAAGTATTTCTGGCCCTCCTCGAATATTGTCTGCAAGTCACCACACCTGGTTTTTAAAGTGTTGGCATTGTCTAATTAGCTCATTGTGCCTCAATTGTTGAAACAGTTGTCTGTCTCGTACTGACAGCTTACATGTCTAAACAGAACTGACATGTTAAAACAAAGTTTTTTTCAATCGCCAAAAAAAAATTTTAGGCTTTAGTTGCTCGTATTGAACTTGCCCCGAATAAAGGCTGCAGCGATCCCTGCCAAACAGCTTCCGTCACGTCCGCAGTTAGCTTCAATGGAACTCTAGAATTATTTACCTGGTGCTGTTCATGCATGGCCATTTCATGAGCTGTTGTCTGCAATCGATGCATAATCTTCATTTTTATAATAGCCCCAGCAGGGCTACTACAGGAGGAGGGGATACTACATTACAGTATACATAGGGCTCCATGTTTTCGGAGTTTCTTTTTCTTGAAATTCAAAGGGTGTTTTTTGGAGTTTATTTCTTTGGTGAAAATTGGGTGTTTATCAAGGTTTATTTCTCGTATATCTCCAGTTCTCCAAAATTTGGTGTTTAAATGTGTGTTATAGTTTGTGGCAATCTCTTTTTTATTTAATTTTATTTACAGTGAAAGTGCATCCAATTTTTGCTGATAATGCTGCTTTTTCATACTTTCATTTCTTTTCTAACTTCGTGTTTATTTAACCTGTTAATAAGGCTGTTGATATGCGCTGCTGTTAACTCACCGAAGTTTACTTTTGTGGGGGCAGGACCTAGTCAAGCTGCTTCTCAGCTTTTTTATCCGGCCTCCCTCATTTTCTTGATGAATAATAATGGATCTCTTACTATTTATATTCTCAATACAGTTAAAACCCTTTAGAAGAGCCGTGCTCTGGGCAGCAGTTCTTGTCTCTTATATGAGATGTCTCTTATAAGCAGGGTATCTCGAATGCATTTTTTTTATCTATCTGTATGTTACTGTAGTCACACTGGCAGACTCTCTTATACCCATTTGTCTCTTATATGAGTTTCTCTTGTAAAGGGGTTCGACTGTAGTGTATAATCTTACATATCAAACGATATGTGAACACATTAGGTGTGGTTTACTCATCTAAAGGATTGAATGTACTGTGCTAACACATCTGCATGCAAGCGCATGTACTCGAACACATGGCACCTACATCTGTTTGTGTTACTACCTTAACAGAGCTTGTTGTAATAAATGCAAGTACACTTTACGAAGTTACTGCCACTGATGGAGGTGCACACCTTTCTATTGATGGTTGTCAGCTTTTAAGATGCCCTTTGAAAATTGAAAATGCCCTCTTAAAATGAGAGCTTATCAGATAAATTGAAATTGTCAAAAACTTTACTGCCTAGTGTTTGTCGAATTTTATCTGATCTGTGCGAAAACACGAAGCACTAATTATAGATAAATTATAATAAAGTAATAATGTACTGCCTCACATTTTAGTACTATGGTGTTTACGTAGTAAGTTGTCATAGTGCATAACAGAAGCTGGTTTGACGAAGTTTGCAATGTATGCAAACCCCTGGTTGATTTTTCTATTGTGAGTTATGCAGTGATGCTGCTGAACACCAGAATTCTTGCACATGAAAAAATTTTGCTTTTTCGCCATTTCTCTGTTGGATCACATGATGACCATAAACAGCAGGGAAGCAAAGTTTTTTAAAGTTTGAAACCAGAATTGCATACGAAAAGCACTGCAGAACTTTTATCTTATCATAGGGAAATAAAGTTGAGGTTCTTATGAGAAGCTGCGGTCATAGATGTTGTGCAGTACCATATCTCTTCAGCACATTAACGACAGAGAAGCCAGGCTGTGTGATGCCAAGTCAGACACTACATATTGCAATGGAGGTGTTGCGTGGATGCCAAAAGTTGTTGCTGGGCTAGTTGGTACGGGCTTAGTGAAATACATAAAATATGAGTACCATCATGGAAATATTCAAGACAGAACAGAAAAGAGTGGCACTCCCAATTAACTTCATTTTCCACAAAGCAGCTACTATAACCATAGTAACCATGTGCAAAGCACATTGCCTCACACACTTGTCAAAAATACACTTGACAAGATGAATGCCAAGGACTATTTAATCTAGAAAAAGTTGAAAAAATCTAAGCGCTCCTGCGTGGTGGCTAGTTTCACTAAACTTCCAAGACCTTGAATAGTGGCACAGCCGTTAAATGCATTGGTTTCTTTTTCTTTCGGCATGTGCAAATAGTAAACTTAAGGTTCGAGGTCAGTTTGAAGCAAATACTTGTTACTTGGTGAAGTAACTTAAAATTGAATGGCTCAGATACTATTATCATGTATCTTAAAGAAAAATGAGCATTTTTATTATGACCAAACTAAAACTTGCACAATATTTTCAAGAACTAGAACAAGGCAATATCACTTTATTGGTTTGCTGGGCAAGTCATAAGCAGTAAAATTAGTTTCACTTGAACATTTGCTATATTAGTAGGTATGGGCCTGTATGCTATTTTCTAAACATTAAGATTCTTATCATTAAATTGCAAGTATTGGACACATTTATCGCTGAAGTGCGTCGTCTTGCCAATTCAAATTTCTCTTGTACAGGTGGTTTCAGGGCCAAGTGGTCTCTCGCTGCAGCAAAGCCACGTTTTTAAGGGGGTTGCATGTGGTCAAATACCCTTATTTGTTCATTTTGAATACCGTGATATTCGTTTGAATATTCGAAGCACATGGATATTCGCCCATGCCTACTTAGAAGCTTTCTGGACAGTTCATCCTGCAGATGTGGGGTGAGCGTCTCAACACCCGGCCGGAGTCCGAGAAGACGTCGATGCGGGGCAAGCTGGCGTCGGCCACGTACGGCCAGACGCAGTCGTATCTGCGCCCGCTGTTCAAGCGGCTCCGCAAGGGAACCATCCCGGAAGACATCCTCGAGCACCTGGTGCGCATCGTTAAAACATGCTGCTCAAGGAGTACGTCAAGGTGAGCATGATCATCAAAAGAGCCCCGAAACTGCCTAGATGTTGAAAGGTTAGTTGTGGTGTTGCAGTTTTGCTCAAGTCTGCAACAAATTATAGACACTAGAATTTCTCGACTCAGTGCTGTAACAGTGGTCCAAAATTGTCTAAAAGCGCTTGCTCCATTCTTTAACTTACTACATTTCGTTCGTTGGTCGGTTTCTCCTCCTGGCCATAGAGTTTCCTAATATACACTAGAGGGAACTCTGGCGCTAGTGTCTATGGGAGCTGCAACGCACGGCGCTTCAGTGAGCATGGGAATGATGGGTAGTACACACATTTGTCTAATCTTTGTACTTCTGGCCTGCTTCTGGCTTCGTTTGTGTTCGTGTGGCTTGGAGCTGTTTTCTCACGAAACGAAAAATCAGCAAATGTTCAGTGGTTGTGCTTCACCACCTTATTTTGAACTTCGTGACAAACCAGGTCACGAAGTTCAAAAGGTTTCGTTCTTTTCTTTAAAACGAAACCGTAACCAGCAATAAACAAAGCCGCAAGTACGAAGACTAGGCAAATGTGTGTACTACCCATCATTCCCATGGTCGCTGAAGGATCGCAGCACCAGAGTTCTCTCTAGTTAATTTTGGGAAACTCTACGCTCCTTGCCCCTCCTCGCTGTGCCAGGAGGAAGAGCAGCTAACATGTGTCTTTTTGTGGATGATGTGACCAGATGTGAATGACGAGAGCACAGCCAACACTGGGGATGTGCATCTGCTTCAAATACTAATAAAAATATCAAATGTGGTTTAAGGTCTCTCACATTGCAATTATTCAAAGAAACAAAGAACGATAGTTGCCAAGTGAGTTGAAGTGAACCCTCTCTGTTGTAAAAAGAAGGATAAAATTCCTGAATTTCACTAGGCGGAACTGGGTTACAGTTATTGGGCACTTCATAGTAAAGTCTTTGGAATAATTACAATTATCTGGTGACATGAGGCTAAGTTTAAGCACTCAGGTATTTTCGTATTTTGTGTCCATTGATATCTGACCACCATGGGCAGGAATCAAACACATGCCTCTAGCATATCATGCCTCACTTAGCTGTCACATTAGTGCAACATCCTTGTTTTAATCTAAGGCGTTATTTTCGAGGCTCTTCCCTCCTTCCTGCACCACACCCCTGACTGCCTGGGTGGATCAGTGGCTAGGGTGCTCGGCTTCCGACCCAAAAGTGGCGGGTTCGATCCCAGCTGCGACAGTCGCATTTCGATGGAGGCGAAATGTTAAAAAAAGGCTCGTGTACTGTGCGATGTCAGTGCACGTCGAAGGGACACTAAAGTCAAATAACAATTTATGTCAGAGTGAAAGCTCCATGTAAGACAACATCTAAAATGACAATATTATCAACAGCAGTGCCTTACGTACCAAGAAGTTAAGGTAAATGCTCGAGAACACATGCGCTACAATGGGACATACTCAGAATGATCCCGATTACATCAGACATACCGGCTACAATTAATCAGTAGTAATCGAACTACCTGCACTAAATAAAGAACCTTCCATGTATCAAGAGATGTAACAAAATGCTGCTTGTTCGTTTATGTTCGATTAATGGAAAAAACAACGGCTAGACGTTACTATGGGGAATAGTGTGAGTGGTTCAAAAGTTCAATTTTCACCTGGTTAAACAGGACAGGTTGCACCATCTAGCAGGGCCCAGTTGCCATCTCGCAGGCCATGGTAGGAAATTGTTCAATGGCTGTTCTTGCTGCTGTAGCTCCAGCTACTTTCGTTCTGCTGCTACTAGTGTCGGCAGCCATGCAGTAAAGCTGGCCAATGTTGTGCATAACAACCGTGATGCGACACATTCCATATGAGGCGGTTCATTTGGAGTGCGATAACCCGATGGGGACCACTAAAATGTTATTTCATTTCAAAATAAGCACTTGCTATGCACAAAAGTAACACTACGAGGTTTCTGGACAGATATTTGAACAATCAACGCCGACTTAATAGTAGCCTTTAGTGTCCTTTTGTTGGTCTTATTCATCTTTTTGTTTATTTTTTCAGTGATCTTGATCGAACTGCACAGGGTTATGCAGTGTTTTCTGTTGATTTCAAATATATAATTAGTTTTCTTGTAACTCATCTTGTTCCTGAGATAACTTAAGTTCACCCCCTATCGTTTAAGGCCGCCATAGAAAAAAAAAAGTGCTTAATTAAAGAGTGATATTTAAAATATACCAACTTAGATAAATGATTATAGATTGAAGGTATGCAAGAGTATTTGTTTTTAAGCCTTTCTTGGGTTTTTTTTATAGCAAAATGAACTATCCATATTCAAAAGCAATTGGAATTGTGTTACAACTTTGATGAGTCATATAATTGAAAAGGCTTATGCTATAAATTCCACTCCCATGCTTGCATTCTACACACATACAGGTTTCCATTGCAAAAAGCATTATTGTTGTGCCCGTCCTAGCTGCAAAGATACTAAGGCCTCAAAATTGAACAGTCATAAATTTACTTTTTTTGAAAAATAGAGAAAACTGATAACACACAACTTCTTCAGAAAGCAACAATCATAGTATGCATGTTTTGCAATCGCCATAAAGGTGCTCATAAATTCATAGCAGAGGTGCCGGCAAATTATAAAGAAGCCTCGAAGTCGGTTCCCCATTTTTTGCAGGTTCTGCATGTTAATAGCACCAAGAATCTGGACAGTTAAACTGACATTACAAAAAAATTACCACTTCCTGGTGAGTGAAAATTGGCAGAAAGATAGAAAAATACTTGCAGAAACCGAATACTGTATTTACGTGCATAATTTGCACCCTCACATAATTTGCGCACCTCTAATATTTCACCATCTTTTCAAAAAAAAAATTACTCCCATATTTCACGCTCCCCGACCTGCCCGAGCGAGCCTGCCGGTGCGCGCTCCTTTGGATCTTTCGATGCTTCGGCCGGGTGCACGCCTCGCCGAGCAGATGAGCGCAGTCAAACAGGCGGCGAGAGTGAAGTCCCTTCTTTTGAGGACTTTCCCGGGACTAGGGTTTCTAGAATACCGCACTCGAACTCAAACCTATTAACAGGTCACTGAAACTGCTCGAGTGTTTGCCTCTCCCTATCTTGCAATCTCTACCACCGTGATAATGGCGAGAGTGCACGCTCGTGTCACGGCACGGACGACTTTCTGCAACGGAGCATGGTGTGATCGAAGGTGTGCGATGGCTAGTCACGCCAACTGTTCCTCTCGGTTCTGCTTCCGTGCTGCAACGCACGCTAGGTCGATTTCGGAAGTTTAGGTTTTGCCATCCGGCAGACGCATTTCGACGGTTCCCTTGTGATGTGCTACAGTAATTATATATATGGCAAAATTAAGCTCGCTGTGGTAAATATCACCGAAGAAAATGAGAAACGTGCGGCCGCAAAGCACTTCAAGGGAACGTACTTCAACGGGACAACCAGCGCGATTGGTTCGCGAGAAAGCAGAAGAGTGCGCTTGGTAATGCAAGTTTTCTGCCATTAAAAGAGGCCTTTTCAAGTATGTGCGGATGCTTTGTTTTTCCGGTATCTCTGTGCCGTGGGACGCGGTTTTTCCCAGCATTGTTGAAAGAGCTTCAAGAAAGAATGTGGGGTGTTCGAACGCGTTTGACGGAACCCAGGACGAGTCATTTTAGGGGGGGTGGCAGCGGTTGCGACAACGATTCCCAATCAGACTTTGCGATCAGTGATTCCCGCTAGGCCACGCGACTGGATCTGACTGGTTAAAATACATGCTATTTCTTTAAAAATTAATCACTACACTTTGCTTGTGCTCCAATTTATTTCACTTTTTAACTGTATATACTGCGCGCGTTAGCATTGTGACACAATATTTCCTATGCACTCATGAGATCCCCGCGTAACTTGCGCACTTCCTTCTTGGGGCCCCAAAAGCGTGAAAAAAAGTGCGCGAATTATGTGAGTAAGTACGGTATGTCAATTTTAAAAAATGAATTTTTTTTGTCACCTTTTGGTCCCAAAGACCAGTTTGCCCCCTTAAAAAACACCAGATGGTCGAAATTTTCAGAGCCCTTCACTATGGTGTCCCTGATAATCATATTGTTTTGGGACACAAAGCCCCAGATAGTACAGTCGAATCTCCATAATTGGAACTCGAATAGGCCCGAAAATTTGTTCAATTTAAAAGAAATTCGAATGAATGAAACCTAAATAAACAGAGGACTCTCCATGCAGTGGCGCATGTGCATTGAGCTAACACAAGAGGGGGAAGTTTCAGAAGACTTACGTTTATTCACAAATCATAGGACATCCGTCATTAATTGAAGTAATCGATGATGCACGTCTGCACACGTTTGCCTTGCAGCGAGTCAATCAATTTTGCACGCAGCTTGCACAGCATTTCTACTTTGGCTTCAGCATTTTCCTGGCAAGAAAAGTTGCGCGCTGAAATGTCCAGCGCCGACACTCTCACAAGACGACGACAACAATGACTGCGTAGCGGAGCCGCAGCATGGTCAGCACGTGATGAGAAAGGAGAAGCGTCTCCACGCAGAGAGAAGCAGATCGGCATTCGAGAGAAAACCAACACTCCACGGCAGCTTTTTTTTTCTTGTGTGATTCTTAAAGAGAAAAGTGAGCCCCGTAGCTGTCTGCATCAGAGTGTGACACTTCAACAGTAGCTCACGAGGGATAGGGGTAAAGATGGATTAAAAGGATAAAATTAAAAGGTAAATAGATAGAAAGAGGAATGAGAGAGGGGACAGCGAACAACAGAAAACGATGGAATTAGGGAGGAGATAGGAAAGATGGACACGGTCGCAAGAGTCCGAGGACGGGGCACACCCTTCCTCCGTGACGGGGCACCGCTCAGCGAGAGCTGTTGTCAGCGGCAGGAGATGGCGTAGGGCGAGGCAGTCTGCCAGAGCTGCGCACGAGGTCCAGAGTCTTCGCGCGCGTCACTGAAAGGAGAAGGGTTATGTGGCAGGGACGGGAAAGGGGGAAACGTGACACCGGCGCGTGAGAGACCCCCCATCAAGGTGCAGAGCCGTGCTCCCGCTAGGGGCAAGGGCCTCAACCACACATTCATTCAACCCCGCGACAGATTTTTTTTTCCTCTCTCTTTTCGCACGCGCGGCATTGGAAGGAGAAGGGTCTTTACGTGGCGGGGATGGAAAAGGGAGAAGCGTGGCACAGGCGCGTCGCAGATCGGCATTTGAGAGAGAGCAAACATTTTACTGAAGCCGTTTCTTCCTTTTCCTTTCCTTCGCGCGCAGCGTTGAGGTGTTGCAGGTGCTGCCGCGGGATTGAGCGAGGTGCTGAGAGCATTTTCAAAGCGCGGTAAGTTCAAATTAACCGCCGCAAGTGCTTGCACGTTCGAATTACCGGGCGTTTTCGCCTATTGGAATGCACATAGCTTTGACGAGACCTCATTGCGAGTTCGAATTAACCAGAAGTTCGAATTAAGCTTGTTAAAATTAATGGGATTCGACTGTATTATGTTATATTAATTATCACGCAACCCCTCGATATACCCTTTCTTGCGTGCACACATTTTCACTTCTAGCTAGCACTTTCTTTAATAAACTGGCTGGCCACAGATTGTCCACCAGCAACTCTGATGCCAGTTACAGACTGCAATAACACTGCTCTTCATTCCTGACAGCTTGCGCCGTGTTTGTCACATTGAAAGCTCACTGCTTTGATTCAAAGCAAAGCTACCCAAGAACAAAACTGTGATTGAGTATCCATGCAGCTCTGAATGATGGCCTATAAGTTAGAGTCAAGGCAAAACTAATGTCTACTGCAATAGCTGCTTGCAAAGCATACCTTTTTGACAATGCAATCACGAACGGCAACTGCTCAGTAGTGAGGGCATTGGCTTTCCCATTGTCACCTCACCGTTCACATTGATGACAATTTAAAAGCAGGCTACGTCACGTTTTTCAGTTGGGCAGTGTTGCTTTCACCCTGTGTCGCACATTTCTGGCACCTCACACTTTAGGCATTGTTAGAATTATTTGGGATGCAGCCAAACACATAATGAGGGTTTGATCACATTTGCCTATGCAAGTGTTTCAGGGATCAAAGAATGAGCACTACCTATTCTTCAAATTTTAGTGTTGTTACTTAGGTGTACACAAAGCAAAAGGATGAAAAATCTTAAAACAGGTGTTTATCAGAAGAGGCAATGTTTTGACAGGTGGCCCTCTGTTTTTCAATGCTTGCTTGAAATACTGTTGCTATCTTGAAGAAAGGACCACTTGTCGAAATGCATTGACACCCCTGCTTAATGATTTTTTCATCGCTTCAGGTTCTGGATTTCTCTGAAGAGAAGCATTTAAAAGTGCATTACTGAAAAACAAGAGAGAGTTTACAGTTATCGCCATAGTTTGGCAATAAAATTTAGCAGTGGCTCAGCCAGGATATACATAGCATGAACGAGGCTACGTATATCCTGGCTGAGCCAGCTGATTATTCTTGGCTTTCCTAGTTGTCAGGCTCATTTTATCATGCTTACTGCTGGACTGATAGACAGACGGACTAGCAAGCATGCTCAGGAGTCAAGCGCCGGCTCACTAGCGACACGTCTCTCCACAAGCTTCCAGGCCTTCTCCGGTGTGCCAGCTGTGCACCGTGTGACATCAGTGCTCCTCTGCTAACCACAAGCAAGGCGGAACTGCTCAAGCTTGGCCAGTGTAGCTTGCGCTAGGGAAGGTAGAACTCACTCAACAAATGTATTTCGCTCTTAGGGCTCACTCAGACTCAAACCTACTAAAATTCCTCTTCCAGACCCACTAGTACTGACACTGATTAATGCTACATCACTTACCCAGACTTGCACTCGCAGCCTGATTTGAATCTGACAGGTACACTCATGAGCGAGTTTGCCAAGCTATTGTCGCATAAACCTTTTACAGTGTTATATCAGACGTCCACAAACAGATTAAACAAAGTGGAACCTTAAATAACGGAGAGGACCTCAATAAAGGAAAGGTGCAATAAGTGATCATTCAACCTCTTCATCGATTGTGCCTTTTTGTCAAGCTAGAGAGGTTATGAAGCATCCGGCTTGACACTGCCATTCAACCCTTCAAGCACAAATGACATTTATCTTCCGCATCCTAAATGGTAGCACCTGTTATGTGAAATGGCATCCGACACTGAGCAGTTATTGTTAAATGATGTTCTCTTTCTTTGCGCTGATTTGCAGGCCAACGATGCATACCTGCAGATGGCCATCGGCAATGCCCCGTGGCCCATTGGTGTCACCATGGTGGGCATTCACGCCCGAACAGGCCGTGAGAAGATCTTCTCACAGAACATTGCCCGTATCCTTCACTTTGGTGTACCGTGGTGTGCAGTGCAGTGCAAAATGCGCTGAAACAGAAGTTTGTAAATTTAAAATTTTCCATTACTTAGCGTGCACAGTTGGCACAAACTAGCCATTCTTGTGAGCTCTCGGCTTTGCCTTGTGCTGTTGCAGGAGTCATACTCCTGTGTACTCGCTTCAGAAATGCATGCTGCTTTGACTTGTCATACTATGTGTTCAGCTGCCTTTGTTTTTGAGTAAAGCCATTTGTGATCCTTTTACATCCCTATGCCGACATCCATGGGCCTCGTACAGTGCACTGGAAAATTGCCGTGTTCCAGCTGAACCTCACAAGGATGTCATCGTGTCACAAACACTCTCAAACTAGTGTGCGAGGTAACCATCTCAGCAACCTTGAACAGAGCTCTCTTGTGATCAACGATAAAACTATTTGAATCGAAGGTTACGAGGGGAGATGCAAGGTCCCCGCCTCAAGTGAGGGTCCCCTTCATCACACTTGTAGGTTTGGGGAAGAAGAGCATAACACAGAATCTTGAGATATTATTTGTGCATACTTTAGGAGCTTTTATCACAGCTCATCATTCCATTTCCTTCAGGTACATTTCGTTCTAGATATGTAGTGCCTCGTTTGAATGAAGCATGCATAAAGCTAGGCTTACCAACATAATCACTCCAAAGCAGTTCTTGCGATTTAACATTGTGTCACGAACATGAAAAACCATTTTATAGCAGAGCTCTTTTCCTTAGTTGGGCGTTATTTTTTGTGGTATGCACACAGTCACACTAATGTGGGCCAATCCCAATGACAGTGCATAAGGTGGGAAGTGCACAGTGTGACAACATCATCAGGCGATATCACGTGACGACATCAACCCATAACGTTTTATGCAATGATGTCATCACATGAAAGCAACGTCATCCCATAATGTAACATGTTAATCATCATGCAATGTGATTATGTTACGTCACAATGTCAAATGCAACATCACAGCTTGGTCTCATAGTTTTCCTTACCATAGAATCTTATAGCCACACTCTTTGCATCATGGGCCACGTAATGCTTTGTGACTGAAAGGGGCCCTGCAACACTTTTCCTAGTAGCCGTGAAATGGATCCACTAAAGGAGCTTATTGCATCACGAATTGACTACTGCAAAAATTTATAGAATCCATCCAGTACAATCTGGCACACGCTGCAATTTCATTCTCTCTTTTCTCATACCAGCAAAAGCACTGGAAGATAAGCAGATGGCACTGTAGAAGAAGGTACAGTCAGTCAAATCTTTAGCTATCATGCATGAGTGGCAGTTTTTTTTTTTCTATCTTTGCCATACTATTGAATTAAGTTTATGTTGGATTAAGGACAAGTGTATGCCCATAAAGCACATATCCACAAAGCAATTTTTTGTAACTTCGTTCCATAATATGGCGCTGACCGACAAAAAAGTCGCTGCTGCACACAATAGCTAAAGTTTTGGCCGACTGTACATCATGCGTGCCGCCTGACTTTGAGCACTTTTTTTCTTTTTCCTTTTTTCTTTGAAGTCGTGGCTTTTCAGCGCAATGACACGTGCACGCACAAACACGTCGCAGCCTTCTGCGGCGGCTGCAGTAACTCCCAAGCACACCATGCTCATATCAGCCAATGATGTGATACTTTGGCCTATGACACGATGACTTTTTAGTATATACTGCATCATTTGTCGAGAGAAGGGAAAGCGACCTTTAGCTGACTTGGAGAATTTATTGAGTATTCTAGGCTGCATGGTTCGCTATATAGTATTTGGTTCACATGTCCTCAGCAGCCTCGACTTGCGATCAGCCATGTTTGTGAACCATGCTCAATAAGTGTCACAGGGCCTCTTTATACAAAACTGCCACCCCCTCCCCCTCTCAGCAGTTGTAGCAGTGGTCTTCCATAGCTTCATTGGGCATTCACTTTCACTGGGCCCAGATAGTGAGTCAATTGTTTGGTGTAATTTCCATGATCCGAAACAGAAGCTGGCATCTTAATGCACATGAAGAAAGCTGCGTCTTCTGTTTATTGTAAAAAGGGCTGTTTTTTTTTTCTCCTTTAACACAGCAATGAAGGTATCACAATAAACTGAAGCATAGTTGCTAATTTTTTTTTATTTATGATCAAAGGGCGGGCATTCAAATGCACTTTGAATGCAATCTCTTGTCGTCAGGAATGCACAGCAATAAAGGTAACATTTGCACCAATTTTTCCACAAGCTAAGACCAAGAACATGACTCAAATTTTGCCATACAGTCCTGCTTTCATTACAGTTCCACATTGAGGTATATTATTTCGTATTCTAGCTCCTAAGTTATTTATAGATTGATACCACTCTAAATTGCAATTTATAACATTTGTTTTTTATAACAACATTAATTTCCTGGGAAACTTCCCAAATCTGGGCAATTAATTCAATGGTTCCATGCTGGTTGCCATTTTAAGTGATGATTTTGACCCATCAGCAAAAACAAAAAAAAGATTGTTTCCTTAACCATCACTTCAGATGTCCTGAATGATGAAACTCAACGAAAGTTCATTCAGGTAAGTACCATTGTACCATGCTCAATCCATGAGACATTATATCTTTGAAAATGAAATGCCAAACTTTTACAAAGGTTTTATATCTGCGATAATGCATATTAGTGACGTCACTTTTTGAACAAATACCAAATAATGCGAAGTTACTTTAGCATTCCACATCTCACACACACACATCTTTCTTTCAAGACAGCAACTTTCTCAAAGTTCGTGAGTGGTTTTAAATATACGTGTAATTTTCTTCAAATTAAAGGTAGTGACCAAAGTTATGTTCAATTTTTCATTTCTTGTCCGCAGCTGCAAAAATTTTGTACGCTCTATAAAGCTTTTAACCATTGAGCAGATTTCACTTAAATGCCATCCATGGTATTAATGTTTTGCGCACCTTTAGTGCGCAAATTTTTTAGGCCTTTTTACAGCCATTAGACATAATCATTGTTTACATTCTGTGTTATTTACTGGTGCTGTTTTGCCATCAGTGGCTTCTGTGTCATTAAACAACATACTATATCATCATCGTATGTAAAGGCATAGGTTATCACTGACCCCCTGAAAAGCTTACTGCCTCATCACTTTTTTGGTGATGGTGCCAATGCAACTAGCCCCAACTTGAAGCCACTGTCAGTGCTGGAAAGACTGTTTCAGTTTTCTATGTGGTTGTAACATTCGAGCAATATTTGGACCTGTTTTCTTGAAGAACAAGTTCAAGACGAGTACATAAATATATGCAGATTCATTCTGAGATATAATTATAGCTTGCAGTGCAGGGGGCACAGTAGAAATCAGTGTTTTAACTGAGAATGAGAGCATGTGTTCAGTACACACCAGGAATGAGTGTCATAATGGAAGTTGCTTTTCGGGTCAGTCATGTTGACAGTCGAGTTCGAATTATTCAGTGAGGTCATTTATGAACTGAAACCTCACTGCAACAAAATTGCACCTTAAATGAAATTATGTTCATTATATCCAAAAATTTGTTATATAGGTATACTCCTAACACTATGTCTCTTGCAAGACTACTCCTAATTTGCTTCATTATAACCAATACTTCATTATACCAGGTTCGTTATATCAAGGTTTGAGCATAACCAAACTATGAGTCTTAGTCAACATGAGATAATGGGTCCTGGCCGGAACTTGTTCGGATATTGTTGACTGGAAGCAAACTAATGCACACATTATGTACCTTACCCTTCTTTATTATTGCGATTTTGTGGACCCTACACGTGCATTTTCTCCATTGCTGTCAACCTCTGCATAAACTCCGAAACCTATGACCTTTCCCCGCTTGTTGGGGGAGTTAAAGCATGGTTGTGCATCAAATGGAAAAAAAACAAGCCAGCCAACTTCCTTAGTCTGCCGCAATGGAATAGTAGTTATAGTGCTCGGCTGCCAACTCGAAGGTCATGGGTACGATCCCAGCCGCAGTGGTTGCATTTGGATGGAAATGAAATGCCAAAGGCCTGTGTAGTGTATGATGTCAGTGCACGTTAAAGAACACCAGGAGGTTGAAATTTCCAGGCGGCTCATATACAAATCGTGGTTTTGGGACGTAAAGTTTCAGATATTATTATTATTATTATTATTATTATTATTATTATTATTATTATTATTATTATTATTATTATTATTATTATTGAAATGAGGCATTTTAGAGTGGCACTCTTTTATAAAACAAGAGAGCGGTCACGACACGTCAAGTGGTAATGGCGGAACCAGCCAGAGTACCCAGCCAACAAAACGTTGTCTTCTTCACTGACTGAGTGATACCCCCTGCCTTTCTGAGTAGCACTCATCTTCTTCACTACATTTTCCTCCCCTCCGAAAAAGAGCCATCCTGGCGACTCATGGGCAGGAGACAATAGAGGGATTGTAGTACGGTTTTAGGCGGTCTATGTGGACGGTCTCACGTCCACGGCGCCGTTGATCTTGGGGCTGCTCAAGCGGCTCCACGATGTAATTGACGGGTGAAGTTTGTTTAACCACACGGTAAGGGCCGTCATACTTGTACATCAGTTTCGCTGAGAGACCAGGGCTGTTATTGAAGGGATACAAAGCCAGACGAGGTCATCCGATGCATAAGAAGCCGGAGGCGTCGGGCTATCGCGGTGGTGTTTCTGGCGTTGCTGTTCAGCACTTGTGAAAGACCGGGCAAGCTGACGACACTCTTCCACGTATTTAGCAGCTTGTGACATCGTCGTCGACTCAGCAACACCCGGGTGTTAAGGAAGGATTGTGTCTAGCGTGCAAGAGGGCTCGCGACCATAAAGGAGAAAGTATGGAGAGAAACCAGTGGTTGTCTGGACAGCAGTATTATGCGCGTATGTTACAAAAGGAAGAATACTGTCCCAGTTGGTGTGATCGATTGCGACGTACATTGACAGCATATCTCCTAATGTACGATTGAATCGTTTTGTAATGCCATTAGTTTGAGGATGACACGGGATGGTGGTGCGATGAATGACTTGGCATTCCTTGAGAAGCAATTCGACGGCGCCCGACAAAAACACACGCCCTCGGTCACTCAGGAGTTCACAAGGTGCATCGTGACGTAAAATGATCTGATGCAACATGAAATGACCGACATCACTGGCTGACGCAGAAGAGAGTGGTGAAGTTTCTGCGTAGCGTGTAAGGTGATCGATAGCGACGATTACCCAGCAATTTCCAGCTGGTGTATTCGGAAGAGGTTCATACAGATCGATACCAACGCGGTCAAATGGTCTGGCAGGACAAGGTAAGGGTTGTAGTAGAGCTGGAGAATTTGGAGTGGGATTCTTCCAGCGTTGGCAAGCGTGACAGGAACGTATGTAGTGACGAACGAAGCGATACATTTCACGTCAGTAGTAGCGGTGGGACAGGCGGGTGTAGGTTTTTAACACTCCAGCATGGGCGCATTGTGGGTCGGCGTGAAAGGAGGCGCATATGTCTGAGCGGAGACGTCTGGGAATGACTAGGAGCCATTGGCGTCCTTCGGAGAGATAATTCTGTTTGTATAGCAAATCATCTCTGATAACGAAGTGCTGTATTTGACGGCGCATACCTCTAGGAATATTTTGCGAGAGGGTTCAACTCAACAAGTTGATAAGTGAAGCGATCTAAGGATCTTTTCGTTGCTCCTGTAGCATGTCGCTGACACTAAGTGTAGATACGTCGAGGGCAGGCGAAGACAGCGACTTGTCACTACATCGTAGAGGTGATCGGGACAAAGCGTCTGCGTCGAAATGTTTTCGGCCAGATCGGTAAACGATGTGAATATCGAACTCTTGTAGTCGAAGCGCCCAACGGGCGAGCCGGCTGGTGGGATCTTTTAACGAGGAGAGCCAACATAATGCATGATGATCTGTAACCACGCTGAATGAGCGCCCATAAAGATAGGGTCGAAACTTGCCTATGGCGCATATGATGGCTGGACACTCTCTTTCGGTGACTGAATAGTTGGCTTCTGCTTTTGTGAGTGCACGGCTGGTGTAAGAGACGACATACTCATCAAATCCAGGTTTATGCTAGGCGAGTACAGCACCCAGACCAACTCCGCTAGCATCTGTGTGTATTTCTGTCGGGGCAAGAGGATCAAAATGTCGCAGTATAGTAGGTGACGTAAGAAGGTGGCGAAGTATGGCGAATGCATCATCACAAGCTTACGACCAACTAGAAAGGTCGTTGCCGGCAAGGTCAGTCAAGAGTGATATGATGGAGGCGAAGTTGCGAATAAAACGACGAAAATATAAACATAAACCGAGGAAGCTGCGAAATTCTTTTAAGGTCTTCGGCTTAGGAAATTCGGCAATGGCACGGAGTTTCGTCAGATCTGGAAGAATGCCATATCTAGATACTACGTGGCCCAAAATTAGGAGTTTTCGAGCGCCGAAGCAGCACTTCTTCAAGTTGAGCTGTAGACCGGCGGAGGTGAGGCAAGTAAGCACTGTCTCGAGCCGCTGAAGATGCATTGAAAAGTCGCTTGAAAATAACACGACATCGTCTAAATAACACAGACATGTCTGCCATTTGAGGCCGTGAAGGATGTTGTCGATCATGCGCTCGAAAGTGGTAGGCGCATTGCAGAGCCCGAATGGCATGACGTTAAATTCGTATAAGCCATCGCGGGGTAACAAAAGCCGTCTTGGGGCGATCAGCTTCAGCCATGGAAACCTGCCAATAACCTGAACGCAGATCTAGTGACGAGAAGAACTCCGCGCCTTGTAAGCAGTCAAGGGCATCGTCTATGCGAAGTAGCGAGTAAACATCTTTGCGCGTGATCTTATTCATTCGGCGGTAGTCGACGCAGAATCTTATTGAGCCATTCTTTTTCTTGACTAGAACAACTGGAGAGGCCCACGGGCTGTTAGAGGGCTCAATAACACCTCGCTTCAACATGTCGTCAACTTGTTCCGCGATTATGCGACGCTCAGATGCCAATACCCGATACGGACGCTGACGTAAAGGAGCGTGAAGGCCAGTGTCGATTTGGTGAGATACTGTGGAAACACGGCCCAAAGTCAGTTGCTGGTGGTCAAAGCTGGCGCGGAAGCGCTCGAGGAGGGCGATGATGTCAGTGCGCTGCTGGGCCGTAAGGTTGGTGTCGATGCAGCGCGAAATTGCGTCGGTGAATGATGGCGAAGAGGATGACGCGCAGCAATCAACAGCGTCAATAGGTAGCATAGTCGAGTGGTCAGGAACTACACGTGCACTCGAGGGATCAATGTCATCGGCAAAGCCCAGGCACTCTCCGCACAGTAACTTGGAAGGCGAGGGAAACGGATTTGAAACATAAATTGCACTTGATCCATTGTGAATATTCAGAACGGCGAAAGGAATCAGGAAGCACTTGCGGCGAACAGCGGTTTTAGAAGGCGTAAAAAGAACAGTTGAGCCACTAGAGACGTCACAGGAAAGCGGAACTAGGGCGGATGAAAACGGGGGTATCGAAGTGTCGGCGGCAACGAAAACTTTTTCAGGTGAAAGGGGCGAGCCGAGTGAAGCGGCGTCGCATAACGGCGCGA